GCGTAATTCAACTTAAAGTAACATCAGTGTGACTTCTGTTGTTGCAGATTAGATGACAAATAACTTAGATTAGGTTGTAAGATGTTAGTTTAAGAAGGACTGTTAATTTTTTTGCTAGTTATTTATTGTTAGCTTGTTTTTTATCGTTATTAGTTGTTTATTCTAGCATTAATTGTTAATTTTTTTATTAATAATTGTTTATTATTTTGTGTGTTTTTGTGAATTTTAATTTAATTGTTACATATGTTTCATAATGTAATAACATTTGTGTAATAAGCAAAGAGCTTGAAACATTCATAAAAGCAACTCCATTGCCTGCTTACCTCATTGCTCAACCAAAACTGTTCAAAAATTCCAGATTAATGGGATAGGGGCCGCTTCGCGGCCCAGGTGCCCAGTAAAATCTAAACACTAGGACTAGGCCCTGTATTTACTTACACTGAAATGAATTATAGTTATATCAAGGCTTTTTTTCTCTGTGTTTCAGATCCAAAAGTAGAGTGAGTCTAAAAATTTTAAGTTCCATTTTTCACCGCAATTAAAGAAGAAAACAAAGTTTGTTTGCAAACAAATATAACCATTTCATACCCTCTATAAAAATATTCACAGTGTTGTTCAAATTCTGATATTGTTTATAAGTTCTTTTAATGCACCAGGCTAAATAAACCAGATTAGTTTAGAACGTTTGTAAACATGTCAACAATTTAATAAATCCATGAAATCTGACAGATTATGTATCGTGCAAAACCTTGTAATGCAACTTTTTTACGAGTATTAACTCTTATGGAAATGTTTATTTTTTAGCTTCTTTAAATGAGCGTCACCTGTATCCCATTGCATGTCATCGAAACCAGACATGCCATCTAGCTCCAGACGGTGGATAAATATTTTCGAATGGTGGTTTCTTAACATATGATTCTTACTAATCACTCTTGCAAATAATTCAAAGGTTTATGTCTTGTTACGCCACATTGTAACATTTACAAAGACGCCATTTTACTTTACTTTAAAATAAAAAAATATATACATTTTCTTGTGTTAACGAAATTTAAGTTATGTTTAGCTTAGTAGTTTCAATTTTAAGTAATTTCTCCGCCACTACATACAAAATGTCAAAGTCTCATATGAAATACAAATTTATTTCAGCTACCTCGTAGTGAAACTTTTAAAGTGTAAGCGTAATTATCCGTATTCTACAAGTATTACTATTTATTTCGCAACCAATTTATAAAAACTTTTGCAGAAAGCGGTGCAGTTGGCAATTCCTGCATTTTAAGACAACTCGATAAATTAAAGCTGGTGTTCCTCAAAGCTCCATCTTAAGACTCATCCTGTTATTAATTTATTGTACATTCTTAATATAATATACATTTCCCTCTAAACAGATCAGACCTAAATACATTAACTGCCTTCTACACCGATGATACGGCTATTTTAAGCAGGTCCTGTTCCCAAATAAAGCAATAGAAAAATTACAAGACAAGATCAGTAATATAGGAAATTGGCGTAGTAAATGGAAGGTCAAAATCAAATCTCCGTATAATCGGAAAACATTATAAAAGGAAATTAAATATCAACGGCGATATTAAACTGTTCAATGAAGGAATTCCAAAGGTTTCAAAAGCCAAATATCTAGGAATTACACTTACCTGTTCCTTAAATTGGAAAATTCATATCAGATACCCTAAATAAACAGAAGCAGCATACCAAGTTCTAAGACCCCTTCTAAATAGCGATTTAAGAATAGTCCTTAATACTAAGAGACAGATAATGTGTATTCGACTGATACTTTGCTATAATGGCGATTCAAGAATGGTCCTTAATACTAAGAGACACATTTACATAATATGTATTCGACTGATACTTTGCTATAATGGCGATTCAAGAATGGTCCCTAATACTAAGAGACACATTTACATAATATGTTTTCGACTGATACTTTGTTATAATGGCGATTCAAGAATGGTCCTTTATACTAAGAGACACATTTACATAATATGTATTCGACTGATACTTTGTTATAATGGCGATTCAAGAAGGGTCCTTAATACTAAGAGACACATTTACATAATGTTTATTCGACTGATACTTTGCTATAATGGCGATTCAAGAATGGTCCTTAATACTAAGAGACACATTTGCATAAAAGGAAAATTGCTTGAATCTACTAAGACACCTACTTATTTGGGATTTACATTAGATACAGAAGTCAACTGTGGTAAACATATTAACAGGCTTACTGAAAGGGGCAGAAAAAGGCTCCAGCTTCAAAAATATATTTCTGGTAGAGATTGGGGCTTTGATGCTGTAACTCTCACGTGCACGTACACTGCTCTCATTAGTTCAACACTTGAGTATGGCTACCAAATTTATCAGGTTTCTGCACCTACCAATCTAGAAACATTAGAAAGAATACTATTAAGTGCAGTCAGAATTATCATTGGCCTCAGGAACTGTTACCCCAATAATATTGTTCGATATGAGGCTGAATTGCAACCCTTGTGCCTAAGAAGAGAGACTAACATCACAAAGTACATCGCTAAGCTTAAGAGCTATGACTCCCACAATAGAACGGCATTATTTTTATCAAACTGGACAAACAATCAGAGACTGAAAAGGGACAGCCCTCTTAGTTTGATGGAGAGACAGGGCCTGACTGACATTGATGTCGAGCCATGCCTTATTTTTAATCTATTGATGCCTAATACTTCTCTTAGTAATGTAGTTATTAAAGATGACTTAAATATCGATTTTACCAAGAAAACTGAACATCCGGAGTTGCTACGTCAGCTGGCTCTCGAGGTAATCAATTATATCCCTCTCGGAGCCTTGGACGTCTATACGGACGGAAGCAAGTCTGACTCCGGCGGAACAGGCAGTGGTGTTTTTATGAGGACAGGCGAAGGAGAGCTCAACCGCCGACTTAGAAACCCGGATCATGCCTCGTCTTTCGATCAGAGTTAATTGTCATAAATGAGGCCTTGAGCCTAGCCATGGACTCTGGCGTACCTGACATATGGATATTAACGGATAGCAAGAGTTCAATTCAATAATTGAAGAACTAGCCAAGTATCTTGGAAAATTTGGGACAGGAAATCGTTATCAAATTGACTACTTTGTCTCAGATCGGCTCGGTGCACTTGCAGTGGATCCCCTCCCATGTGGGTATTTATGGAAATGAGATTGCTGATCGGCTTGCCAAGGAAGGGAGTGAACTTGCTACTCCCCCTTCCTCGAAACTACTAGTGTCTGAGATTCACTCCCAGAAGTAAGCTAGGGTAAATTCAGCGTGGAAGCACCCACCAGATCATGATTGGTATGCCGCCAAATGCCCCGGATTATCCCTACAGTACACTTGTCCTAGATTTGCTCAAACAGCTTTGTCAAGACTTAGGACCAGCCATATAAAGTGTTTGACCTTCTGAGCGAAAGAAAAGATTTATGTCTATTGTCCTTGCTCTGCCATCGCTTTTCTATCTCATCTTTTGGATTGCATTGGTGCCTCTGTGAGGCAACTGATGAGTGATGGAGAGACTGTCTATGACTTGCTGATGCGACATGATCTTCTGGACTTGGTCTTGGGCTCTAGACCAAGGGGTTAGATAAGCAACAACAACAACACATTTACATAATGTGTATTCGACTGATACTTTGCTATAATGGCGATTCAAGAATGGTCCTTAATACTAAGAGACGCATTGACATAATGTGTATTCGTCTGATACTTTGCTATGCTTCCTCAGCTCAGGATTCCCTAAGCAGGACTCAAATAAAAATATTACGAGTTTTCGGGCACAAAATTTTAAGTCATATTACAGGTGCAGTCTGGTAAGTCAAAAAAAAAAAAAGAGCTCAAAATCGAAGAAAGTAACCATAACCTTCAGAAATTGATTGCTTTTTTTTCTTCGAAGATGCAACTAATTGCAAAACTTGTGTTTTTAACAAAGTTCTAGATTTTGAACTTGTCAACTCGAAGGCTAAATTTAGCCTAGCTGCCGTTTTCTTCCTCAGTGACGGAGTGCTTTTAAAGCACTTTAGCCCTAATTTCGACTAGTTCTTCAAAATCCAGATAAACTGCACACTCTGCACCTGCGAAGCCCGTACTGCCGTTAAGAAGTGTCACAGCCTTTAAATTATAAACATTTGCTTATCTCCTATTGCTTAATTTTTCAGGTTATCATACTTATATCCTAGACATCGTAATTTACGAATTAAAACTTTAATCGAACATAGACTTCGCTATCAATCCTCTCCCCCTCCAAACCCTTATTATTTTTATCTCAGATGGAGGCGTAGATAACACTCCGGGTTAGGAACGCTTAACTCACTGTATTAGTCAGTTAACATTTTCATGGATGTCAATTTCTCGACTTTTTGCAAAATTTTTAAATAATAGTGTAGAATAATGATAATTACGCCCACTCTTAAAAAGTGTCACTTTGAGGTAACTAAAAATGAAGTTGCATTTGATAGATAGTGGTTGGAAAATTTCTAGCAATGAAAATTACTATGATATTTCACCTTTATTACATGATATTTTACTTTTTCAGACCTGATATCCTGTTTATTGACTTACACGGCCGGAAAATTGTTTTAAAGTCGTAGCTGAATTTTAAAAAATATGAAGTATTCGCATTTGCTAAAATTATTTTAATTTCGTTTATCGTGGTGAGAAAATTTCAAAAATAATTTTATAAAATTAAATCGGAAGTTAATTTTATGAAATGTTAAGCAGTCTTGACAAAAGTTCAGCACCAGTCTTTCGTTTTGGTGAGATTATTTAATTGTACTTTGGTCCATCACACATTTGGCAACACGGTGTGGTATAAGTTTCATTTAAAAACAGTTTTTAAAAATTAGCTATATTTGTGAATTATAGTCCAGTATTAACAAATACATACAATTCATTTTAGGAACCACAGATTTAACGATGAAGGATGTCTTAAAAATGGAAGTTAAGGAACACCATTGTCGTTCAGAAGTTATAAAACTCCAAGAAAATGTTTTAGAACTCCAGAAAACTGTTCTGGAACTTCAAAAGAAAGTCTTGGGTCACCAAAAAAGATATATCGATTTGTTAGAAGATAAGATAGCATCAAGATCCTGAAATATGCTGGACATGAGAGATGGATGAAAATGTGACAATTGTGTCTTTGAGAACAAGGCCCAGCAAACGCTGTATTTGACTACAATCTTTACGCATTACGCTGGAATTTTTTTTTTTTTAAAACTCTTTAACTGTTAAAAAACTTAAGTTTTCTTATAAAAGAGAGTAAAAATAAAATATCTTAGTTGACTTCGCTGTTCGAATAATTATGACTATTCTCTGTTGGGACTTTACTGCGGAGTCAATGATCTTAGGTTCTTAATCCCGTTCCTGTTAGGTTCAAGTATCTCTCTGTCTGTGTTTGTCCTTAGTTGTGTGAGTGTGAATGTGGCTCACCCTATAACGGGTATCTATGGCAATATGGCGTAGGGTAATGTTGTTGGCTAAATGCTTTACGCTATAATAAACAGAAAAAAATGAATGTATGAAATGGTTAAGTAAGTGCAGACTTACAACAAAAATGGCTGGAACAAACACGTACGAAGCTCATTTTTCGTTACAAGAATTCCATTACGAAAATACTTTTAAAGTCTGCGGACACGATTTCTAAAAATTATGCGCCAATTTTATTGACATTTTGTACATTTCTTTCAGTTAATAGATACAGAACAATAGTTTTTTCCCTCTTTCAGCGAAATATATTTAACTCTGCTATGTAAGGTCTAAGTTACCCCAAAATATTGAATTTTTTTCATATAACTGTGCCAGAAGTTCACATTTAAATTTTTTTTAATTCCTGAAAACTCCTTACTCTGGGAGGTTTCTGTTGTTTTCTTTTACATGTAACGCAAAAAAGTCGAAATCGAATGTTATCCTGCCTCAATTCTTAATCCAGGAATTACGTTATATTCTGGTTTGAGTTTGAAATTGCTTTGGATTTTAACACTATAGTTGTAAAACCGAAAATTTACTCTGCTGTTCAATGCTGATTATAGAATAAAAATGAAATTTGCCATTGAAATATCTATGTTTCAGCATCTGATATTCATATAATAAAATATTAAGAGACAAAATCAATACCGATTTAAAAAAAAGTTGTAAAAAACTTAAAACTCTTTTATTAAATGAAAAATGACAAAAAGATGCATTGTTTAGAAGGTGACTTTCTTGTACCACATGACAAGGTACTCTTTGTCTTGTATCACTACTTGGTCTAGATCTAAGTAGGAATATATTTAATTAATCATGCCTTTTAAAATGTGAATTTCATTTAAAAAAATTAATCAGCTTATTACAACAATTCAAACTCAATTATAGTAAGAAGGAAATTAAAGCACTCCACAAAATGTAAGGCGATATTAATTTTTATTATTTCACTTACTCAACAACTACTTTCATATTCCTAGTTATTTTAGATTTTTCCTGTGCAAAAGTTCAAATTTTAATGATTCAACAGATAGACGTTGCTTATTAATCAGGCATAAAAGTCTTGATTTTTCTAAGTAAATCAGTAAAATAATTTATCCAATGTATTTTTTCTTTTAATCTTATTCGAAGACACGCTAGCTGCAGAAGTTACCACTAACGTTAGCTCTGTCACATTGCGCATAAACAATAACGAAATTCGTTTCTTCTTTTTTAATTTATACATTTCTTTTTTATATTAAAATATTTTGAATGACTCATATTAATGCAAGGAAGCAAACTTCTACCACATATACTTAAATATTCCTCGTTAGCAGAGACATTGATTTAACAATTAACAACTATTCGTCTTCAGCCCTTACTCGCTATCGAATCGAATCGGTTTTCAGAATCAAAATGCAGTTTTTTTATTATGGTTAAAAAAAACTGCATTTTATATTTATAATTAATTTAGGTTTTGGAGTTTCTACTTTTTTTTCACAAAAGAGAAACATTAATATGAATACCTAAATTAATTATTACATATACTATTTTTCTTTGAATATTTTAGGATGTCGTAAATTCGAGTGAAATTAAAATGCCAGTAGTTTTTGGATATGCACGATCATATTGCCTTGACACGAATACTTAGCTACTATGCTTCAGTAATTGATGAGAGAACGAAGCGAGCATGGGTCGCTAAGCAGCCCGAAAGGAATTACGATTGACCGGAATGCTTAAATTTTCTGTTATGAGCCACCTCCGACAGATTCTAATAACTTAGTAGCCACTTTTTTCTCAAACCTAACGAATCTTTGACCGATATAAATAGGTCCAGGTCCTTTTTATTTAATAGCCACTTTTAGAAAACTTATAATATAAATAGGTGACCGATATAAATAGGTCCAGGTCCTTTTTATTTAATAGCCACTTTTAGAAAACTTTTTTTGTTGATTAAATTAGATTTTTCTGGAGAAAAAAAATTCTTATTACAAATAATCTACAACTTCAGGAAGTTAATTCCAAAATTAAGATAATATAAATATGCGATAAAATTTAGCTTAACATACTGACTTTAAAAAACTTTATATAAAAATATTTTGGGGTGGTGAAATACATTTCATGAAAGCATTACAGCTTTGAAATAAGTGAATTGTTAAAGAATTATTCTTCCACATAAATCTTTACACCCTGTTAAGTGACGCCAGAGGGCGTATGTGCCAGGGAGAAAATTGTAGTAGTAGATGTTTGTAACTGCAGCGATGAACCATCGCCACATCTCTCAATAAATTTGTTTTGTTTGTAACCAGTCGCCTAGAATTACTTATAACCCCTTCATACAGTCCAAGCTATCGACGATCTTACACACCCCAAATTGATGAATTTTAAAATGTCAAAAGTTTGAATGGATATAGTGTATATTTTAATGCAAATTTCAGTTTCCCAGAGCCTTTTTCTACATTGAACTATTTTTATCATTAAACGATTTTTAATAAATCGATGAGAAAAGTGACTGGTTGTTTATTTAATTTAAATCTCCATTTCTTTTTTTGATGTACCGCCACTTGTCGAGTGATTATTTTCAGGTTTAAATCTCCACTTTTTTTGTTGACTCACTACTTAGCGAGTGACTGTTTTCAGATATAATTCTCCAGTTTTTTTTTCTTAATCTGCCTTTTGTCGAGTGGATATTTTCAGACGTGAAACTACGAAAATTGTCAGGAGGTTGGGAAGCAATAGCTGGCATATGTCGGTCAATTTTTATGGGTGGATATTTAATATACCACTGAATCTTCGATGGTGTGTTTTGGATGGGAGAGATTTAAATTATTGAACAAAAGGAAATTAAATTAATCGATGATCATTAATCTGAGTCCTTTCCCAATCATAAACTTTCAGAAATGTTTCAATGTAAAAACTTGAAAACTAATGACAAAAGGAATTACCTTTTATACATCTGCTAATGCTGTGCGTAGCACTGCCTTTGTAACAAAACCAGAACAGTCCTGCTTCTGAATCATTAGTTACTTCATCGATTTGATACACAGACATATTTGTGCTATTAAACCTGAAATTTAAAAGAGAATGATATAAATTGACTGAAAAATATGTTCTTCTTTCAGCTCAAAGCTTTGTCGTAAGACCAATTTTAGATTTTAGCAAATTTTCCTTTTTCCGTTATTTTATGGAGAGAGAGTTTCCAAAGGAAAAGTTAGCAAAAATAAGTTCTCACGTAGATATGTATTTTTTTTCGCTGCGAAATAGTGTATAGTGGTGACAAAAATTTGAATTTTGACAGAACTTTAGCTTATTTTCATCACCAGTATTAAAAGTTTTCAAAGAACTGTATTTATGCTGATGCAATATTTACATATTTCCCGAACCCAAAATAGATTCTTTCAGTACTTAAACTGTTAGGTATTAACAGTTTAGGTGAGAAAAGTTGGTTTAATTTTGCCTTCTCTCAAAACTTTCTTTTCAGTTTGATCAGATCTCATATATCACTTATGGGCTGCAATAGCGGCACAACTCAAAAAATCATGCTTTGAAATAAGTGGGTTTTAAAGTTTTCATTGCTGAGTAAAATGCATTAGAAATGCTTTAGCTTCCTTAAACGAAGATTACCTTCAAGTTGAATTATGAGTTGTGCTAGTATTGCTGCTGAAAAGAATGTGTATTTTCATATGTGCACCTGTTCTTAGTCCAAAACGCGTGTTTTTTGAGTTGTGCCATTATTGCAGCCCATGAGCGATATATTAGTTTTAATTATTTATATATCATGGTTATATACAATTCGTGAAACATTTGTATATTTTTAAAACAATTTCTATAAATTAAATAAAAACTCCATTAATAAAACATAAAAAAAGTCACAAGAATAGGCTGTACAATTTCGGTGTTATAATAAATAAGAACCTTGCTCAGAGTCAATACATAAAATGAAATGTATTTAGTAATAAAATTGTTTACCTAAAATATGTTCATTCTTGTGGGTTCATTCGTACGTAATTCGCAAAGTATTCTCTATCTTTAATTTGTTTCTTAAAGGTGGTTTGCTTGGTATATACCACCTTAAAAATGAACTAGTGTATTTATACAACAACTTCCATTTTGAAAGTTCGTAAAATAATTTTAACTTGTTTAAATATATATGTATTTGATGATTATTTTACCAGTGAAATTTGATGATGTTAACAAGGACATTTATTTTATCGTTTATTAAAGTAGATTTAAAAATGGATATTTGCCAATACTTCCTTCTTTTAACTGTATAGGGCTTACTTATAAAAAACATTGTAATGGCTTTCAGTACTTGGAGATGATGTCTAACACCTTAATTCAAAAAAGAAAAACATATTTAGATAACAAGAATTTTTTCAGACAGTTCATTTAATATAATTATATTCATATAGTTTCTAACCATGTAGTAGTCAGGAAACCCATATTTTTGTTTCTGATGTTTAAACGGACCTTTTAACACTTAAAAATTTAATTTTAATAAAGTTTTAAAAAAGTAACTAGTAACTCATTCAGAAGATAAAAGTTTCGCGAGGATTTTATGTATGTAAAGTGAATGTAGATCTAAGTGCTACTACTATAGTCCTCAAGTTAGCAAAACTTTCAACAAGTCTTATAAAATTATAAAGTTGCATTTTATATTATGCTGTACAATGCAATGTGCAAGAGCTGTACAATGTGCTATTGGCGACAGTCTGAGAAACCTCCCTGAGGATGATCCGGAGATAAAATACATACATAAAATCCCATTTTAGAGAGAGGACACATTCGCACACCTATCCCGCAAATCGCAATTTTGACCTGAACCAAAGCACGATCAATCTTAAATTTCGTACCTCCAAAGGTATTGATTTGTTATGTGAATTTGGAGGACTTTGTGACCCTCCCAGATTTAGCGATACCAGTAACCATTTTGTACACGGGAAGGCTGTGGCCAGCGGGGATTAAACTCACGATCTCTTGGACATGGGCCAAACGCACTATAAGCCACGGAAAAGACGAAGTTATGTAGATTAACCATCTGATGTTATGCTCGGCTATGCGCGGAGACTCTGCAGTGAAAAGATATTAGAATGTTAGACATCTCCTGATCGGATATTGACTATTTTCTCTTTCTGTAAATAATTTATGTTCCTTGATTTTTTGTAAGAGCTTGTCATTTGCTTATACCAGTGGAAATAAAAAGTGGAAATTTATCTTAAACAATGTATTTATCTCTTTAGTGAGACGTAACCTCTGTCGGACAAAATAAACCCTGTTTTAACCTCTGCCATTTATTGAACTGATAAAGATGTACCAATGAGATACCGAAACGTGTAAAGGTTTTAATACAAATTTTACTATTCGTCATTTTTAATTAAATTTAACACCATCGCAAATAGCTATAGTAATTTTACTATATATGCTGTTGTTAAAAAGTAATATGTTTAGATTATGCTTTAAAATATGTCGTGAAATCTGACGCACCGTCATCTGGGGTAACTTAGACTACTTTTACTGGGAAACACTGATTTCAGCAACAGTCATTTGAGTTTCATTGTAAACATTCAAGACATAATAATCTTGTTTTTGCCAAATTTTGAAGCACACATTTCTGAACTGTGTGTACATTAAAGGAATCAAAATTACGAAAGTATAGCAGGAAAAATCGAAAATCAATAATTTTTTATGAAATTATCAGTTATTGGATATTTATTAATTACGTAGTTCAGTCTAAGATCTGTAGCTCTGTATTTCATAAAAGGCAGAAATGTCTACGTCAAGAATGTTTGAACAACAAGTTTCTAAATTTTGACTGCAATATTATTTGACATCATTAGTAACGATGATGTTGATCTTAATAGGAACTTACAAAGAAAGGGGTAAACGAAAAGCGCATTCTTTTGAAATGCCTGTGATTGTTTTTTTTAAAAAATAACGCTTTTTTCTGTCTTATTTTAAGGAAGAAGTTAGCCGATTGCCACACATAGTTTTATTAAAATAATGGGCTAAACTAGTATAAAGGAAACAATTTTCATTTTTCGCAATTCAGAATTGATACCAGAAGAAAATAAAAGTGTTTACCATCTGATGGAGTATTCTCATTCCATGCGATTCGCCCATGCGCGAGCAATTCATCTTACATATAGATTCTAAGGCGCGTGTGTAAGGTAAGCATTCTTTCAAGAAGATGTGATTTTTCAGGGCAAGACCTCTTCAATGAGCTTCAAAAACGTTCCTGACACTACAGATTTCGAAACAGTATTGCAGTTGGGTAAGCGTAGATCACATGCTCAGAGTCTTGCTTAGAAATACGGAGAAGTGAGACAGCACACTTGGTGGTTTGGGTGAGTAGATCAACCTAGGGGCAATCGAAGGCAGTTCAAAGTCATAAAATCGACGGCAATATCTCCCTATCATTTGTCCCCATAAACTATAGTAGTTTTCAGCTTAGGATGCAGAAGAAGTAAGGGAGGATTCACCATTAGTGTTGTTTGAGAGAAGGTTTTTCCAGCTCGATGGGATGGATAAACCTTCCCCCAGATGCCAAGTAGGGTAAACTAACCAATAAAGGAACACTTAAGCTTATCTTGCCTTTAAAAAAATCAAACAAAATTTCAAAATTTTTATTTTAGCTAATTGACGGTGTCGACATATTTGTTATTAAATGCAAATTATGTAAAAATTTTTTAGATAACTTACATAATATTGTTTTAAGCTTTTAGTGGTTCAAATAATAAGTAGTCAGATAACCAAGTGTAGAAGCACTTCTTACCAGTGAATAAACACTAAATTTTCCAGTGAATGAACACTTAATTTTGAGAAAGTTTGATGTTCGTTAGGAATCCATAGGTCACATAAATGTCTAAAAACAAGATTTTTCTTGGAATTACAACATATAAAAACAGTTAACTTGGAAAATTTTACTTTTTTCTTTCAGTCATGGAATGAAAAGTATAATATGGTTGAATACAAAATTTAAAAAATTTGTTTTTCATTTTTTTCCTCACAGTTTAATAGTCCTTTCTAAATCATGAATGTTTATCATTGTGTAATGCGATGATGTTTTTATTATTATTATAGTTAGATCACTTTTTTGTTTGCTCTTTCCTCCCATATTTTTTGAAGCTTTTTTTTAATCTTTTTAAGTATTTTTTTTTCTTTTCGTCTTACTTTTTGCTTTAGCTTTTTTTCAGCTCTTTCAGTCTCTTTAAATTTTCGTTCTTCTTCTGAAGTTAATGCAAAAAAGTAATTAATTTCTTTTTCTTTTGATTTGGCCTTCCTCTATTTTCCACATTTTTGGCCAATGTAAATGTATCTTCGAAACTTCTTTTAATTATCCAGTACCATTTATAGAATTCCTCACAGGATAATAAATGAGAAAAAGGAGTTTCGAAGTTTGAGTAAAATCCATCTCTCATTGACTTATATCTAGTAGGTCTTCAGCAGTACTTACCAATTAGTTAAGGAACCAGTTGTTTTTGCAACTAACAATGCTTCAAGAGGACTTATCTCAAAATCAGTTTTCAAGATACTTTCATTATCAATGTTAGTTGTAACAGCTTCAGTGCCAAAATTTGACTTAGCCAAATGTTCATTTTGCAATAAATTCTTCCATATTGAGAAAGGTACAGGCTATTGGATATTTGGGAGATTAAACTCTTCTGTCAATGTTCCTTTAAAAATTTGCAACATAACTTGTGAGATTTCTTTCTCAAGCTTCTAAAGGAATAGTGCATCGTTACTCTCGAAGTATGTGTTTTGTTGATAAGCTTATCTTGCTCATTAACTCTTCGTGTCTATCTTGCATGCATTTGTTAAAGTCAACGTTTTCTACATTGAATGGAAAAATACCACATCTCATAAAAGCATTTTAACTTCATCAGTTGATGCCTCAAAATCTTATTTAAAAATGGATGTAAAAATTTTCTCGACATATTGTTTTACAATTCTTTTGTTTTCAAGATCTAACGGGAGATTTCCATTAATTAGGTAGAAAGCTAAACCAGAGAATTTATTTTGCTGAACAAAACTTGCTCAGTTCCAAATTGATATGAGATTTATACCTATGCAGAAGAAGAAAAATTGGGAATTCGATAGCTTTTTCAATTAGCCATAGGTAGAAACATTTGCAAAATGTTGCTGCGGTCATCGTTTCACTTCGTGAATCGCTTTTTCCAATGAAATATATAGCAGGAACTGATTCTGTAATACCTCATAGAATTCTCCAGTAAGGAAAAACTACCAATGGAGGTACTTCTATCTTTTTCTTTCCTAGGTACTATAGGATATAAATCCTCATAATTTTTAGGGCTAAAGATTTTTCCCGTTTAAGGGCAGTATTCAACTCCCGTTTGCTCGCATTGTAAATGCAATCACTTTCTAAAAGGATGCTAGGGCTTCTTCCCTCCTAAAGATTCCTCTAAAGTTCTTCAAACCAGTCTTTCGAATATTATTCTCTCTAAGGGAAGTTTTGCCTTTGAAGTTATCGATGGATGTCGTCTTAAAAACAAACTTCACCCATTTTTCACCTGGATGATTGTCTTTAAAGGGATTTTTCCTACCAGTTTTCGACATGACGTTAAAGACCTCTATAGGATAATAATTTAGCAAATTATTGGCACAAAAGTCAGCAAAGAAATTTTATATTCAGGCTTTTATTATTATATTTAGTTAGTTTTCGATAAGTAAACGTAGTTTATTAAGGTG